CCCCCCCCCCCCCCCCCCCCCCCCCCATGAAGTGTTAAATCGGAAAGTAACTGGACTCCAGTCCAACTCGAACTCGACCCTCCTCAGGACAGTCACGGGCTGTAAACGTTGGCACGAATCTATCAATAAGCATGGATTGTTGGCCCTTGACAGCTCTTATTAAGTATTAGTTAATATCTATCTAGAAGAAAAAAATTAAATTAAATTCTTAAATTGAAGAAAGTATAAAAACTATATAACTTTCTCTTGCCATGATTGTTAGAATCAAGTAAGCAAGCAAATAAAACCTATCAGACTTTTCAAATATATGAAATGTCCTACCATTTCTGATGCTTTTTTGTTGGTTTTTTTTTGGATAGGCATCACGTGCTATTGAGCGGGCCTTCAAGCCAGTGAGAAGTGAGATAGAGGACAATGACGACGAGAAGAAAAAGTTAAGACAAGACATTGTTAATGCCCGCACACTGAACAAGGCGGCTTCTATCGACGATGTCATTGTTGAGAATAAAAAATCTATGGAAACCAAGGGTAAATGTTACAGCTACAACATACGTTGGAGAAATTAGCTTATGAATTGTAACACGGGGTTTGTTAAGATGTTAAGTGTGTTCTGCTTTACGTCTCAGAGAGGTAGAGATCAACCAAGAAAGCTAGATATCAACCAAGAAAGCTAGATATCAACCAAGAAAGCTAGAGATCAACCAAGAAAATTAGAGATCAACCAAGAAAACTAGATATCAACCACGAAAACTAAATATCAACAAATAAAGGTAGATATCAATCAAGAAAGATTGTAAAAATACTGCAAACATTCGTGAACAGTTAGATGCATGCGTCAAGTCCCCAACATCAAGTTGTTCTCCACAAAATCTCAAAGCACAAATCTCAGTGGAGCATTAGATCCGGAAAGGAATATGGAGATGGATACGTCATACCATGAGAAAACCCATTCCAAATACAACAAGACAAGTCAATTGTATGGAAAGCCTCCGAGGAACAGGAGGGCGAAGAAGGCCACCAAAATACCTGGCGAAGAGATGTTAACAGACATTAGATAAAGATCGGAAAGAGTTGGAGAGAGAGAGAGAGAGAGAAAGAGAGTGAGAGAGAGAGAGAGAGAGAGAGAGAGAGAGAGAGAGAGAGAGAGAGAGAGAGAGAGGAGGGAGAGAGAGACACAGAAATACCATGAGAAAACCCATTCCAAATACAACAAGACAAGTCAATTGTATGGAAAGCCTCCGAGGAACAGGAGGGCGAAGAAGGCCACCAAAATACCTGGCGAAGAGATGTTAACAGACATTAGACAAAGATCGGAAAGAGTTGGAGAGAGAGAGAGAGAGAGAAAGAGAGTGAGAGAGAGAGAGAGAGAGAGAGAGAGAGAGAGAGAGAGAGAGAGAGAGAGAGAGAGAGAGAGAGAGAAGTTAACTAGAGACACGAAGGCTTTAAAAGAAATTGTTAATGGCATGTGCTCGAGCCGGCAGTTGAAAGGGGAGGGAAGAAGATCACGGACTTTAGAACAGACGAATTGTAAAATAAAAAAAAAAAATAATTAATGATTTGGGAACTCGTTCTTTAGCAGGGTCCTCAACCTCTCGAGACTCACATTAGACAACTTCAGACGACAGCTTGATTGCTGCCTGTGTTTCCGCCGGCTGATAAGGACAGATTTGAACACATTTTTTTTTAATGCTGTCATTAATGTTGAATCATTTTCTAAGTTAATTCAACTGATAATTTGTTTGATCCTAACAATGATGTTTAATCATTGAATCAGTTGATTCGATTGAAAGTTGTTTAATTTTAACCATTTAAATCAGAATGAAACCATTTTCTTAAAATGCACTACACACGCAAAAGGAGACTGTTGTTAAGCCACGGATAATCGTTTTATCTTTTACGTATTTAAGTTTTAAGAAGTTACAGGATTCGATGAATGACCTTTGTCTGTTCACAGGTAAGGCGGTGGAGAAGGACTGGGAAAAGAAAATGGACCTACGTTGTGAGGACACCTTTAGCAAAGGTAACAGCTGTTAAGGGTCCCAGGGGGAGCAGTTACTGATTTAAGTTAAACAAGTGAGAGAAAAAGGGAATTTTAGTTTAAAATTTTGAATGCATTAATATTACATTAGTAAACCTCTTGTCCAGACTGATCTAGGACCCTAGTTTATTAGCCAATTTCTACCATCCAGGTGTGGTGCGCTGTGTAGAGAAACTTGGATCACTGTTTGACAAATGTTATGACATCATGTGGATCATAGCGTACTTGCTTTGCTGGCCACTGAAGGTCTGTCGTGCGACATAATGTTACTTACATAGCTTACTTAACTGATGACTCGCTATAAAGGAAATGTGGACTATGATATCTATCCCATACAGAACTAATGTTAACTTATAAACAAAATATCCACGTCTTGTCCTGTGAATTTGTGAATTGTTGAAATTTCTAGTTGCACCTTTAAAATTTGTCGTCTTATTGATTTTATATATCTTTTAACCGTTTTGAGTTCACAGCCAGTAGAAAGAAAGGATAGCAGAAAAAAAAGGAATCGAAATGCATGTTCCCTGTTTAATAGCAATGCAAGACATTATTTGAAGTTTTGATGATAAAAACCGATTTTTTCTATATCAACCTTTCTAATCTACCATTTGTCCACATTTGGATAAACTATTGTATCTATCTATCCCAATGTCCACCATTCTAATCTACCATTATGTCCACATGTGGATAAACTATTATATCTTTCTATCCTAGTGTACACTATTATGATTCTAATCTACCATTATGTCCAATTGTGGATAAACTATTGTATCTTTCTATCCTAGTGTCCACCATTGGGTACAAAGATAATGTTAGGGGCTATTTACTCACCAGATAAGTGCCTTCTGTAATCTGGTCACCCTCCTGCCCGGTGCCTTCGGGATGAACTGTCAGTCAATGAAAGTGGTCAATCCTGGATTTGGAGAAACGTTTGTGGCAGCAAGGGCAGTAATCGATGACATGGACCAGGGCATGGATGTAAGAAAATAATTTTCTCATTATGTTAAGGATTTAGTTATCCGCAATAACAGTAATACATTTGTTTAACCAAAATATGGCCCCAACATATTGTGACAGATGGCCCCGACATATTGTGACAGATGGCCCCGACATATTGTGACAGATGGCCCCGACATATTGTGACAGATGGCCCCGACATATTGTGACAGATGGCCCCGACATATTGTGACAGATGTCCCCAATATATTTTGACAGACGCCCAGGACATTTTTGACAGAAGCCCCGACATATTTTAAAAGATGCCCCCAACGTATTTTGACTGATGCCTCCAGCATATTTTGACTAATGCCCCCAACATATTTTGACTGATGCACCCAACATATTTTGACTGATGCCCCCAACATATTTTGACTGATGCCCCCAGCATATTTTGACTGATGCCCCCAGCATATTTTGACTGATGCCCCCAGCATATTTTGACTGATGCCCCAGCATATTTTGACAGATGCCCCCAGCATATTTTGACAGATGCCCCAACTTGAACACCTAACATTGTCCCCAAAATTGTTCTCCCATCGAATAACGCCCTCTGACTTTATTTAAAACAATGATTTTAAAATTTTGCTTCAAATTCTAAAATCAAGAATTTACCGGGATTCAACATTCCCCTGCGAGAGATGCGGCCGTGATTGTCATTCAAGGATTGGCCTAGTGAGCCACTCGTCAAAGTGTAGAGCTATATAGCTACTCCATCGTCTCACGAAGGCGGAAGGATGCCTTATTAATTAATGCCTACGAAAGAAACAGTCAATTAGTTCATAGTGCTGTATTATTTTAAAATACAAAGATGCTAAAAAAATTTAATTGAATACTTAAAAAATGCTATAAAATTAGCTTTCTAACTTACTGGTCATTTATCTCAGCTCTCTTCGAGTATTATGTGTGTCTTTTCCAGCTTTGATTGCAATCAATTCCTGAAGTCAGAATTGGAACTAACATACACAAATATGCTACCTTTTGATTGATAGTTTGATTGGCTGAATCATTTTAGGCTTGGGGTTATAAAATCAAAGACGTATCACCAATGTAGAGTTATACTGTTATGTCAAAAAGTACGTGATTGACACTGACACAAAGAACATGGCTGGCACTGACACGAGGAGCATGGCTGGCACAAAGAACATGGATGGCATTGACACAAAGAACATGGTTTGATACTGACACAAAGAACATGGTTGTCACTGACACAAAGAACATGGCTGACACTGACACAAAGAACATGGTTGTCACTGACACAAAGAACATGGCTGACACTGACACAAAGAACATGGTTTGATACTGACACAAAGAACATGGCTGACACTGACACAAAGAACATGGCGGACACTGACACAAACAAGATGGTTGTCACTGACACAAAGAACATGGCTGACACTGACACAAATAACATGGTTGTCACTGACAAAAAGAGCATGGCTGACACTGACAGCAAGTAACATTTTTGACATATAATCATTAATTTAGTGTACACTCCCGCCTCACACTCCCCCCCCAACCCCAGGTGAAGATGCAGTATAAAATGGTGGGTGACGCCAGTGCCGTAGACTACACCCCTGTCGAGGAGATGAGACAAGCCACGATCCATGAGGTCAATGAGAAGGTGGACCTGTTCTCATACCTCTTCTCCATAGTGGCACACCTGCTGACCTTTGCCTTCTTGATCATGTTCAAAAGCGCGTATACTTATAATAAGTGAGTACGACTTACGACACTGACATTTGTACAAAAAATTATGTTTTAAATATTAGGCCCAATTCCCTATTCCAAGTCAGTTTATTGGGGATATAAAATATATATCAGAAATTAAGCTATCGCTTCATAGCCTACCTTATCTAGCAATGTAAGATAGCATCTGAAATAAAGCTATCACTGCCATTGTCTCATTCTGAGCATACCTTGTTCATTAATTTACCAAACCAAAATTTACACTTTTTATATATATATATATAAAACCCCCCCCCCCCCCCCCCACGTTGACAGATTATTTTAACTAGCCGATATAACCATGCTTAACTTGGGGGATAGGGGGGTGGGGAGAGAGAGGGGTGCCATTGAACTGATTGGTAGAAGTTATAGAGCCTAGTCTAATGGTCCATCACGTGATTACCTTGATGGAGCTAACGTATAAAGTGTTTGGTTAAGAAACATTATTTACCTTTTGTCAAGCCTCTTTGAAAAATACAAATAAAAAAGAAAGGAGTCTTTTTTTTTTTTTTTTTTTTTTTTTTAAAAGCACCCAGTCTTTGACATATATTTTGACAAAGAATGACTGCTTTTCTTTTAAAATATTAATTCTTTTCTATTTGTATTTTTTTTTAACTACAAATTTTTAAAAATATTAATAATCTAAAAAAAAATGGATATTTATTTTTAAATCTTCGTCTACTTTGAACGAGTTTATTTTCTGGTTAAGGAGTCTCTCCTCAATGAAGTGATCACTTTTGTCATCTGGCTTGAGGGGACTTGCTTATTCTAAATATATATGATTTGGATTTAAATTAATAAGATTTCTTATAACCAAACGAGTAAATCACTTCTCGATCGCAAACTTTAGTTTTCGGGGACGCCGAGTTCTGCCCTAACGGAAACGAAGGCGGCCCTCGTGCCAGGGGGGGGGGGCACGGCTCCTCGTGAGTTGCCGTTCAAGAGCTAACGCCCAGTGACACTTCTGCACTTAGTGTCTAAAAAAAAAAAAATTCCCCAAAAAGTGCAGCTACTGGGTCATTATTTTGCGCGCCTGGTGCGCATTTCCTCGTCCTCGCGCATTTAAACATACATTGAGTTTTCTCTATACAGACGGCACGGTTTTTGTGTGTGTTCCTTCATCTTCTTGGAGCAGAAGTCATTCATCTGTTATAATTAATGTTCAACATCACCTTCAACACTGTCCCTTAGAAAATACCTGACGGAGCTCAGTTTTGACAACATCTACATCACGCCCTACTTCCGCCACATCGACGCCCGGAGGAAGGCGCAGGGCAAGAAGACATTGCTGCCGCTAAAGAAGTTCGAGTCCAAAGAATACACAAGTCTCAGCAAAATGAGTGAGTGGCCGATTTCAACAATGGTTGTTTGAGGATAGAAAGGTTTGGGGACTTATTTATTACAGGGACATTTTGACCAAGTGTTTTGAATGATAGAATTGTCTACGTCGTGCCGTGCACTCTTAAATGCAACAATTTTTTGCATTGTGAAAATGTTTTTAATATTTTGTCTAGACACTTACAAAAATATTCTTAATTCTAATTCAGGAAAATAATAAAAACCAATAAAAAATGTTTAAAAGGGGTTTAGTTTTATTTACTATAAAATATTGACATGCTAGAAAATATATTGAAAAGTAATCACTTAATTTGCACTTATCTTTTTGGGGTCATTTGTCGACTTGAAATGAGACACCGTTCAGATTTCTACTTGTGTCCAAGCGAAAAAAGATGTAATATTTAACAGAACTCTTGCACCACCCGTCCTTGCAGAGTTGTCCCCGGTCGAAAGGAGTCGCCTCATCTCTGCCACAGCACTGTTGATGGTCCGTGTGTTTATTAGCGCCATCATATGCTACATGGACAGCTTATTGTACCAGGTGATGTTAACCCATTGATACTTGGTTGTACTACAGCAGGGGTTCTCAAAATTCCTAATGACTCCAAACTTAAAATATTTATCGTTGCTCCTTCATAAATCTGTGTTTTCCGACGGTCTTACTAGGCGACCCCTGTGTAAGGGTCGTGCGACCCCCCAATGGGATCGCGACTCAAAGTTTAAGAGACGCTGTACTATAGGATTGGGCAACCTAAGGCTGGCGGGCCACTTGTGGCCCTCTCAAACGTTGTATGCAGCCCGCAGAGACCTTCCGGGGACATGTTAAATGTCTTCGTAAAATGCACAAATTGGGAATGGTTATCTTTAAAAGCTTTTGAAAATGTCAATTTAATAATAATAGAAGTAATCAAAACAAACGGAACAATTATTCCGTTGCTTAATTTCGAGCTCATTTTCAACAGAACTTTTACAAAACTATAAGCTGTCCGTCAAAAATAAAAAAAATTGTGTCCATCCGGCCCTCTTCACGTAGAGATTGTACATCAGTGTTGTTCTAGGGATGATATCATATTGATAGATTGCTGTACCAGGTAGAGGCACTCAGCATTGATATGTTGCCAGGTAATGTTACGTGATGTTAACCAATTGCTATGTTGCCAGGTAATTTTACATGATGTTAACCAATTGCTATGTTGCCAGGTAATGTTACATGATGTTAACCAATTGCTATGTTGCCAGGTAATGTTACATGATGTTAACCAATTGCTATGTTGACAGGTAATGTTACATGATGAAACTTAGATGAATTATTTCTTTTATCCTCTCCACCAGATTTTGGACATAGTTGCCAGGAACAGCCGGGTTGAATACCACCAGACGGGGGAGCATGTCATTGACATCAAGGTCGGTCACTGTACACGTATAAACTGGCCACTGGGGTAGTCGGTATTCGAAGAGGGTGGTATTGTGAGAACCACTTTTAAAATGGGAACTGTCAGTAAAAAGGGGTGAGGAGCCAGAACGTATAACAGCAGTTTAAAATATTTAGAGTTCTAGACTTATGATTTTATATATAGGCGGGTGCGGGTGAGAATCAGTGGCGTAGGAAGAGGGGGGGGGGACCGGGGTAAAGGGCCACCAGCAGCACCCTTTTTCTCTATATCTAGACAAGTGGCATTTTGGCACAAGTGCAAGGAAAAGAAAGGAATTAAAAGACACAATTCCTAATTTTATTTTACCATCAATTACTAGACATTTAATGAGATATTGGAACTATAACATTGGCTCAGGTTTAAACAGTGTATTTAGGCTCAATATTCTGACCCAGTTAAATAGAAATATTGGGAGGGAAAAAAGAAGTGAAGTAAACCAAAACAAGACGCCGATAAGGACAACAGCCAATCAAATGACAGTATTGGAGAGACATTTTGTTTTGGCAACATGGTGTGACATGAATAACAAGCTCAATACATGCTAAATTGGCAGCTTTAATAATAATAATAATATTGACTTACAGTTTTTTTAATGCTTAATAGCACTCCTCGGGGGTTGAAGGGAATATACAAAAATTAGATTAGGTTTCAAGATATTTTAAGATTGAATATTCTTGCCATCTTGGACATCATGATTACAGGTCTACGGAACTGGCTTTATGAGCTCCCTTGTGAGAAACTTTCTGGTCAAGTTCAATACAAAGCACAAACTTGACCAGCTCACCACCAACTATGACTGTCTACCCAGCCCCTCCCAGACGGACGTCGCCATTGTCGCATTTCTGTTCTTGACCTACTTCATTGTCTGGCTGTTTCTTTACTTCGAGGCGTTTGGACTTAGGCTGAGGTGGGCACGTCTGGGGGAGGTGCGTACGTCTAGGGGAGGTGTGTACGTCTGGGGGAGGTGTGCGCGTATGGGGGAGGTGTGTACGTCTAGGGGAGGTGTGTACGTCTAGGGGAGGTGTGTACGTCTAGGGGAGGTGTGTACGTCTGGGGGAGGTGTGTACGTCTGGGGGAGGTGTGTACGTCTGGGGANGTATCATGTCAGGTTGAGGTGTGTGTATCATGTCAGGTTGAGGTGTGTGTATCATGTCAGGTTGAGGTGTGTGTATCATGTCAGGTTGAGGTGTGTGTATCATGTCAGGTTGAGGTGTGTGTATCATGTCAGGTTGAGGTGTGTGTATCATGTCAGGTTGAGGTGTGTGTATCATGTCAGGTTGAGGTGTGTGTATCATGTCAGGTTGAGGTGTGTGTATCATGTCAGGTTGAGGTGTGTGTATCATGTCAGGTTGAGGTGTGTGTATCATGTCAGGTTGAGGTGTGTGTATCATGTCAGGTTGAGGTGTGTGTATCATGTCAGGTTGAGGTGTGTGTATCATGTCAGGTTGAGGTGTGTGTATCATGTCAGGTTGAGGTGTGTGTATCATGTCAGGTTGAGGTGTGTGTATCATGTCAGGTTGAGGTGTGTGTATCATGTCAGGTTGAGGTGTGTGTATCATGTCAGGTTGAGGTGTGTGTATCATGTCAGGTTGAGGTGTGTGTATCATGTCAGGTTGAGGTGTGTGTATCATGTCAGGTTGAGGTGTGTGTATCATGTCAGGTTGAGGTGTGTGTATCATGTCAGGTTGAGGTGTGTGTATCATGTCAGGTTGAGGTGTGTGTATCATGTCAGGTTGAGGTGTGTGTATCATGTCAGGTTGAGGTGTGTGTATCATGTCAGGTTGAGGTGTGTGTATCATGTCAGGTTGAGGTGTGTGTATCATGTCAGGTTGAGGTGTGTGTATCATGTCAGGTTGAGGTGTGTGTATCATGTCAGGTTGAGGTGTGTGTATCATGTCAGGTTGAGGTGTGTGTATCATGTCAGGTTGAGGTGTGTGTATCATGTCAGGTTGAGGTGTGTGTATCATGTCAGGTTGAGGTGTGTGTATCATGTCAGGTTGAGGTGTGTGTATCATGTCAGGTTGAGGTGTGTGTATCATGTCAGGTTGAGGTGTGTAGCTCTGCAAAATTATATCCAGGGTCAACAAAATCGTCGTCTGATATTTATTTTAGTCAAATTTATTATCGTAATTTATAAAAATCATTCATGTTAATTTAATTAAAAAAACTCAGCAACATCATAAATAAAGAAGGTTGAATTTTTATGACTTACAACCTATGCCATTGTGTAAATATAAACTTCTCTTTTGTGAAGGAACCTACTTGTTTTTAAAAAAAACAAAATGCCTTCCTGTGTTGAAATCTCCAGGCGGGCCATCGCTTCATTCTACTACAGGAAGAGGGAGAAGAAGAGAGTCCTGTACCTCTACAATGAAATGTTTCGCAGACGACTCGGGTACCTGACGCATTTGAGGAAGAAGGTGCGCAAAGCTATCAAAGCCAGGGAGCTGAAAAGGAAGGTGGGGCTCCTGGTGGCGCTACAGGTAAGGATCTGCGCATGCCGACGGACACATGCAGGTGCGCCATCTACGTTTACGTGCGTATTATGAAAAATTGTGTTAAAGCGAAACATAAATTGTTATATTAGCACGAATTGTTCGTGTCTAATTAATTCATCTACATAAACCAGTGTGCATATTCACAAACATGGGAGTCCATCATATCTATATTTACAATGTTTGTAGCATCGTGTCTGCTCATTTTTAAAAAATTAAAATTCTTTTGATTTTTTTTTTTAAAGTCACCCTATTGGTCACTCTACCTTTTTAAAAATTCCCTTTATTGATCTCTACACCTTTTAAAAAATTCCCTTTATTGATCTCTACACCTTTTTAAAGTCACCATTTGGTCTCTCAACCTTTGTAAAGTCCCCATTTGGTCTCTCAACCTTTTTAAAGTCACCAATTGGTCTCACCACCCTTTTTTCCCTGGTTACTATCCAGTACATAAATGTTACATTAAATATTTACAACTGGTAATGGGATAACCTGTAAAAATGTCAGCAATATTTACAACTGGTAATGGGATAACCTGTAAAAATGTCAGCAATATTTACAACTGGTAATGGGATAACCTGTAAAGATGTCAGACATATTTACAACTGGTAATGGGATAACCTGTAAAGATGTCAGCAATATTTACAACTGGTAATGGGACAACCTGTTGGCTATGGGAACACCTTTAAAGAGGTTAGAGAAATGTATAATGTAACTTATTTATATTTCATGCCCAACTTATTTTTAAAACAACAACAACAACAACTAAACCATTTTTCCTAACTGTTCTAAAGACATGGGTCATTCTGATTTTTTTGGCTGACTCTTGTCCCCGTTGCAGCGTCACTGTCCAGCTTGCTGTCGGTGGCTCCGCATCTTCCAGTCCAACAGGGAGACGTGCATCATCTGTGATGACAACCAGAATGAGTTCTTTCACATGTGCACCACCACGGGCTGCGGGCTGGCCTACTGCGAGGAGTGTTGGAAGGATGTCAAGAAAAAGTCAGTGTAATGTAACCCATGACAGCTGTCGGTGTAACCCATTACAGCTGTCAGTGTAACCCGTGACAGCTATCAGTGTAACCCATGACAGCTGTCAGTGTAACCCATGACAACTATCGGTGTAACCCATGACAGCTGTCGGTGTAGCCCATGACAGCTGTCGGTGTAGCCCATGACAGCTGTCGGTGTAATCCATGACAGCGGACAGTGTAACCCATGACAGCTGTTAGTGTAACACAATGCCAGCTGTCAGTGCAACCCATGACAGCTAGCGGTGTAACCCATGACAGCTGTCAGTGTAACTTATGACCACATGTATTGATAGGAAAGATCTGGCCACAAATAATGATAGGAAACAGCGAAAGGCCACACGTATTCATAGGAAGCATCTGGCCACAAGTATTGATAGGAAATATCTGGCAACATTTTTATTGATAGGACACATCTGAGTGTTAACAAAAGACTATTTATAAATTCTCATACCATTATACTACCATGGATTGGCTGAACTATCAAATTAATACAGCCTTTGGCCCCTGGGTGTATAATATTAAAATACAGTCATTTGATATGTCTTGGCTCCATTATAAGATCATATTCTGTACACATAAAGACTTGAAAAAAATAATTAAATCCTTAAAATTAACTTCACTTTTTTCGTGTGTTTGTGGCAAAATCTTTGGAGGGCTAAATGACCCACTTCCCACCATCCTATCTAGCTGAAAATTGACTCATAGTCTCATGGCCAATGTTTTTTTCAAGGGGGGAGGAATGTTAATGCTTTTTAAAATGGGTTTGTGTTTTGGTGTGGAGATTAATTCTTTAGATTTTGCCTTGTGTTTTGTATTTCTGGCGTATTTGGGTATGCAGTAAAAATAAAATGTATTTTTGAAGGGGAAAAGGAAGGAAATATGAAACGTGTTTTCGCCAGAAGTTTACCCACTGGTGTTATGTATAACCGCTGCTTAATAAATTGTAAATCACGTACAATTACATAAATTCAAAAAAAAAATTCATATAAAGGATCTATACACAAAAAACCCACGTTATTTTAAGAGGTTGTTTTTTTTACCCAATAAGACAAGATCAAATTTGAAGGAACACTGTAGCTGGCTGTCAAGCAAACAACAACTATGGGGATGAATTGTGGGGGACACTTACCAATTGAGTTAACTATCATGTTTCCCCAGGTGCTATGGCTGCGGCCTGGATACAGATTCTGAGGCTACCGACTTGGAGGACATGACTCAGGGCAGTGACGCATCTGTTGACAGTGGCTTTGATGACTGAATTCAGTGACGCATTTGTTGACATTGTCTTTGATGACTGGGGGCATTTATCTATTGTACAGTAGCTGAGATGTCTCATACAGCATTAAAGTGGCTCTGACAGCCATAAAGTCCACTGACGATGTAGTGGCTCTGACAGCCAAACGTTTCACAGACGATGTAGTGGCTCTGGCAGCCATAAAGTTCACAGACGATGTAGTTGCTCCGACAGCCATAAAGTTCACAGACGATGTAGTTGCTCTGACAGCCATAAAGTTCACAGACGATGTAGTTGCTCTGACAGCCATAAAGTTCACAGACGATGTAGTGGCTATGACAGCCATAGGTTTCACAGACGATCAAGTGGCTAAATTTATAAAAATTGTGTTAATGCTACTATTGTACTAGATTTTTCTCATTGAGACATTGAGTAAAATTATTTTGTTTCTGTATTTTGTTGTAAAGATAATTTTTTAAATAAATGATTGATGAAATCTTTATTCTTTAAACTCTTTTTGTTATCTTACAAATAAACTTATACAAGCAGTTTATATTTAAAACATTATTTAGACAAAGTCAATGTAATTATTGTGTGAGGCAATAGTCAGGTTTTATTGCCGTCGTTGTGAGGCAATGGTTAGGTTTTATTGTCCTGGTTGTGTGGCAATGGTCAGGTTTTATTGCCCTGGTTGTGAGGCAATGGTCAGGTTTTATTGTCCTGGTTGTGAGGCAATCATCAGGTTTTATTACCCTGGTTGTGTGAGGCAATGGTCAGTTTTATTACCCTGATTGTGTGAGGCAATGGTTAGGTTTTATTGTCCTGGTTGTGAGGCAATGGTCAGGTTTTATTACCCTGGTTGTTTTAGGCAATGGTCATGTGTTAATGCTGTGGTCGTGGGAGGCAATGGTCAAGTGTTAATGCTCTGTTTGTGTGAGGCAATGGTCAGGTTTTATTACCCTGGTTGTGTGAGGCAATGGTCAGGTTTTATTGCCCTGGTTGTGTGAGGCAATGGTCAGGTTTTATTGCCCTGGTTGTGTGAGGCAATGGTCAGGTTTTATTGCCCTGGTTGTGTGAGGCAATGGTCAGGTTTTATTGCCCTGGTTGTGTGAGGCAATGGTCAGGTTTTATTGCCCTGGTTGGGTGACTCGTGTGATACAATGATTGTAACGTCACAGCCAGCCAGCCAGCCATTTTTTTTTTAAAAACCACACAAACAGTTGTAATAACGGAAGAAACAGATGTAAAAAATGAAATTTGAATTTTTTTATTCAGAATTCAACAAATGATCTAAACGTCTTTGAAAATGAAATAAATTATAATTTTTGTTTGTGTCTGATTCAATGCTTACAATAGTTGTCTTCTTAAAATGTGACGTAGAACTTGAACTCTGCTAAACATTTCCTCAAGGCAAACACGCGTGCAGTTCAAACTGAAACACAGAAATGTGTCCGGTAAAACTGGTTCAATCTTAATGGCTTAATGGTGTAATTATTGGCAAAATGATGACCTAATTAGACATTGTTTTTATTTCCCTCACTTCAACTGCTTTTTTAAGTGTCCATGAGTTGACTTGCCAGAGGCTTACTTTGCCTTGTGTACCTATTTCATTTATGAGGAAATCCTTAAACATATGTGCACTTTAGTACCGGGTACAGCTGTGTACATCTTGGTGTGGGATATGAAATAGTTTTTTTTCCACTTTACCCCCACATCTACACACACAAAAGTGTTCTATGAAAACAAAGGGTATTGAACTGACCATATTGGACTGACCATATTGGACTGACCATATTGGACTGACCATATTGGACTGACCATATTGGACTGACCATATTATTGGACTGACCATATTGGACTGACCATATTGGACAGACCATATTGGACTGACCATATTGGACTGACCAATATGCTATCGTTACCCGCCATAGATCTCTGTCACGTTTAATTGTAACATTATCTACCCAACACTGTAAAAGAAAAGACTCACCAAATCTATTTGACCAATGAAGTGATTTCTGTCTCTAAACAAGCACTGGCCCAGGGTCAAAGGTGAGGGCATCTTCACCACGGTGCCTGGAAATGTTGAAATGACTTTAGTTTTATTCAGTTAAACACATTGTAATCATCGGAGCCATACACATACACTCTTGTACGATTGACACCAAAGTGTTTGATCAGATTGCACATGTGATATGTTGGCCTACGATGGATATAATATATGTACTAATGCATATATGTACAATTAATATACAAAGGCACAGTACAACATATCAGCAAGACAGTGCCTTACAACGGTGCCTTACAACGGTGCCTTACAACTGTGCCTTACAACGGTTCCTTACAACGGTGCCTTACAACGGTGCCTTACAACGGTGCCTTACAACGGTGCCTTACCAGACAAGGGCAGTTTCCTGATATAACCGTTGACGATGCCACTGAGGTGGCTACCATCGTACTGGAACAGGACATCATTCATAGCATCGTGCTGGAATTAACAAAGAACCATTTGGTGGTATTAGGATACTGAAGGAGTGCATCTTGTATAAACTTAAATACACCAGGTCAGGCACACATCACTGCACACCATAGAATTAGGTTTCAACTCTATTTATATGTTTAAGGTAAAACACTCTACAACTGGTGAAAGAGGAAATTAGGTTTGTCAGTCCCAGTTCACAAAAACAAGCCAAAGTTTGATTGGATGACATTTGAAGGTCACTGGCTTTTATCATGCCCCTACAGACGATCTGGCAGTGATGGTGAACCTGCGACAAATCCCCGCCCCTTTCTTTTTGTCCCCCCCCCCCACTCCCTTTGGTCGACACTTACCACTGGTAAGCTAACCGTCACGCCGTTAGGAGACTGTGATGTGACAACTGTCATTGTGATGTCACTGTCGGATGCCACCAAGTGCAGTGATGGCGTCACCGACGGGTCTGTGCCACAGTTGCTGAGGAGATCGGATGATGTCACGGTATGCACTGCTGCCCTTCGCCTGCGCCTTCCACCTTCAACCAGAATATCAATTTTTTTAAATATGTTTTTTTTTTTCTCCCCACTTTTAGGATAAGCAAATACAATTTTACTGTCTGTTTGAGCTAAATGTAGGGCTTCTCAGAGGCAGAGAGGCGTCTGGGCAACTTTAGAGGCAGAGAGGCGACTGGACAGCTTTAGAGGCAGAGAGGCGACTGGGCAACTTAAGAGGCAGAGAGGCGACTAAGCAACCTCAGGGGCAAAGTGGCGACTGGGCAACCTCAGAGGCAGAGAGGCGACTTGGGGTCCTCAGGAGCAAAGAGGCGACTGGGCAACATGATATATTTTAAATGCCAAACTATAGATTTGAAAAGTTAATGTGTTATTCAAGTTTAATAGGTACATGGTTTCAAAATACGACATTCAAATAATACAGCAATTTTAAATTAATTACAACTTAAAGTTAGAAATTGTTCCTACAGTAGTTCGAACGTCATAAAAGTATTAACGGGTTGATAAATAGTTCTTTTCCCTATTCCATTTTATTCATTAGAAATAGCTGCAATCATGCATAGATTGTTTCAAACTACATGTATTTAGAGAAAACATATTTTTTTTTATGAACGACCATCTGCATTTTAACACTGGCTTGTGAGCTCCAGTGATGACATTTTCTTGTTTAGAATGACTAGCTCTGACAAATTTTAAAATATTTGTTTAGCATTTAATTAATTACTATAAATAATGTTTTTTTAAAAAAAAAAAAAAAAGTAAATAAAGTATAACTTGTAATTTAAACGTGTAAGTAGCCTCTTTCATAATTTGACAAATGATTTACCCAAGAATTGACGAAGGTGTTCTGGAATGGGACCAGAGCCCCTCTGTACTTTTCCATCCGGGAGAGTGATCTCCCATTGTTGCTTCGCCCCCGACTCCTGCAGACGTTTTTGGAGCTCAAGTGGCACATCTCCCTGGCCAGATTTCACGGTCCCATCTGGCATCGTCAGCGACCATCTTTTTTCTAAAGGATAAATAGTCTAATTATGCTTTCGGTTTGACATAACAAAACACATGACTTTCTTAGCAAGAAGATGTCAAAATGCACCCTGACAAATTAACGAAACAAGTCACACCCAGAAACAAATCACACCCAGAAACAAGTCACACCCAGAAACAAGTCACACCCAGAAACAAATCACACCCAGAAACAAGTCCCACCCAGAAACAAATCACACCCAGAAACAAAGGACACCCAGAAACAAGTCCCACCCATAAACAAGTCCACCCAGAAACAAGCCACACCCAGTCGCACCAAAACATCATAAGCCACTTAAAACTCGACAGCCCTTGAAGTTCTTCTTTTCACAGACACTATAGTATCGGCGTGCATTCTCAAACTCTATTTGACTGATCTACCGAACGAGGTAGTTTCTGCACCAACTGCTGTCACTTATTGCCTTGTTTTGATGAAAAAAAATGATTAAACCAGTTACATCTTAGTATTGAACTCAGTACATACACGACTACTTTGATTTGATTACAGGGCAATTTACTTCCTGGCACTAGTGTAGGAAGGGTGAGGCAATCTCAGTATTGTTTCAATATTGTGAGGGACGGGATTTTACGGTAACTAAAGAGGTTTTTTTCGTAGGGAGGGCAGCAAAAATATCCGCAGGCCCCGCACGGCAGTAACCATAGCAACACCACTGCCTCCTAGACTAACTACTTGCACTACCTTGATTTGATCCAGTGCTTGAAGCGGAAGTTCCTCGTCCGACCGGTGAGTTCAGGAGGTCAACGGGTACATTCCCCTCCCCGGACCTGACAGTGCCATCACCAAGCGTGACTTCCCATCGCTGACCCTGGCTCTTAATGGCATTCTTCAGTTCGGCCGGCATCTCTCCGAAACCACTTCGCACGGTGCCGTCCGGTAGAGTAACTGACCACTTGCTGACCACCACCGGATTGTTTGTACCGGCCGTCTGCACCTGGTTGTTTGTATCGGCTACCTGTAAGATCAATAGGTGTATCAATGTTTTATAGGATTTGCCAATCAACGAATAGTTTACTGTCAAAAAGAAAGATAAACCAGTTGGTCACTCTCAGAAAACTCTTTTGATCACAAGAAATTCTGATCACGCTAATAACAGCAGGCCTTCTGAGATGACGTTGAATGAAAATATTATTTGAAAAACACAAGTATTTTAAGTTTAATGTAGTTCAGGGGCGTGGGAAAAAAAAGTGCCGTTGCTTACAGGGTTGGGGAATTGGGGGAGGGGGGGGGGGAAGCACTATTTGGGATTTTTATAAAGGGGGTCACTTGAATGTGTGTTTGGTCAAATGATTTGAAAAGATGTAACGTTTACGAACTACCCCCGCCTGGTTTTNTTTTTATAAAGGGCGTCACTTGAATGTGTGTTTCGTCAAATGATTTGAAAAGATGTGACGTTTACGAACTACCCCCGCCTTGTTTTGTTTGTTTGTTTTTTGTTTTTTGTTTTTTTTTGGGGGGGGGGGGCGGCTTATAACTTAATATTATAATGTCCCTCCTACTTTTATACCGCAAATTTATCACATCTTATTTAATTTGAGACTATTTCCGTTAAAAAAACGAAAATATTAGACACCAAACGGCACTAGCGGTATTATTAAGACACTCATTCAGCGCAGTTATCGGGATTTTATTTTGCAAGCTATTTAACCCACCATTATTCTATACATGAGCCTCCATATAGAATTATATTGATTGATATTATTATTATTTATAAGTATATAGATAAGATGAATAATGATACCATTACAATAGAAGCAGTCAGCTTCAAAAGTCATGAAAGCATCACCTTTGTTGGGGATATTTTAAAGAAATGCTTTCATTTATAATTCTATAAATGGTATAATAGGAGGCCTGTGTAAATAAGGATATTTACCTTGTTGGCAGGGGATGAATAATGCTTGGTGAAAAGGTCCAAAATACTCTGCGGGATTGGCCCATCTCCGGATCTGATGTCACCATTGGGGAGTTTGACTTTCCACCCATTGACTGTGGCTATCTGTTAGGGGAAGAAAAAAAAGTTTGTTAAAATATGGTTTAGCAGTTGGAGCACTGCACTGCCTATGACCATTATAGCCTTGTGGGTAAGTTGGGGTGTGGGGATCAACAACGAGAGACGGGGTGAGGCGATTAATGAACCGGCTAGCCGATCAAACAGACATCTGGGACACGCTTGGCTCACCGATGCTTAACTCCAAGGTCTTGCTTGCTTTATATCATCACTAACATGTTTTTTAACCATTACAAAGTTGCATGTAAATCTACCAAATAGATATTGGTACGATTAGTTAAGACAAGTCATTTGTGCATCTCCAAGTAATCAAACCAAGTGCGGTGGTAAGGGAAGACGGAGGTTTGCAATTACCTCAACTTAAAACCTCAAATCTATCGGCCAATAGAAATGAATCCAAATAATTCTTCACGACATCGAAAGTTGGAGATAATTAAATTGATGTAAATTAAATAAAAATAAAAATGTAACTCCGCCGTAGCCGGTCCCAAGCCCGGGTGAGAAAGGAGGAGGGTTGGGCGAGGGCTAGCAATCCTTCCCTGTAAAAAAAGGCCCTGCTACAAATACACAAAGAAAGATTTCAAAAGGAAGCTCGGACCTTGGAAAGGATGAGTCTCCTAACAGAGAATTAATGAAGCTGGGTGGCCAAAGCCAACTGGAAACCAACCGGCGGACAACCATCCTCTCCACTAGGACCACCACCAGTCTAGGAACATGGAACGTAAGGACCATGTTCCAAACTGGAAAAACTGTCCAAGTTGCTGCTGAAATGCAGAGATACAAACTAGCCATCTTGGGAATAAGTGAGTCTCGATGGATAGGCTCAGGTCAGATAAAGCTCAACACAGGGGAACTGCTGCTATATTCAGGCCACGAAGATGAAAATGCGGCGCACAACCAAGGAGTGGCACTCATGCTTTCCAGAACTGCCCAGAACGCACTTATAGGGTGGGAAGCGCATGGTTCCCGTATAATCACGGCAAGATTTAAGACCAAAAAACGAAAAATCAATATGGACATCCTACAGGTGTACGCTCCTACCAACGATAGTAAAGAAGAGGACAAAGAGGATTTCTACAACAGACTGCGAACCCTGGTCCAAAGGTGTCCTAAGAGCAATATGGTTATACTCATGGGCGACCTAAATGCGAAAATAGGCAGCAACAATAAAGGCTATGAAGAATGCATGGGAACACATGGTATGGGAGAGATGAATGAAAATGGTGAAAGACTAGCAGATCTATGTGCTACAATTGGACTAGTCATCGGAGGAAGCCTCTTCATGCATAGAAATATCCACAAGGCCACATGGATTTCACCAGATATGTCAACGGCTAACCAAATTGACCATTTCTGTATTTGCAATAAGTTTAGACGGTCGCTCCAAGATGTTAGGGTAAAAAGAGGGGCAGATGTAGCCTCAGACCATCATCTAATTATTGCCAAATTAAGGCTGAAACTGAAAAAGAACTGGACAAGCGAGGGAAGCAAGCGCCAACATTTTAACATCAACCTCTTGAAAGATGAGTCCAAGCTAAAGGAGTTTAAACTTACCATCTCCAATAAGTTCCAGATCTTACAGGAACTAGGCAATGAAGAAACAATTGACAAAAACTGGAAAGAAATCAAAGAGATATTCACGACTACCTGTGAAGAAGTGTTGGGCCCTAGGCAACAAACGCATAAAGAATGGATTTCGGCTGAAACCATGGAAAAAATCCAATATAGGAGAAAGAAGAAGGCAAATCTAAACAATAGCCGCACCAGAACCGAAAAGGCCAGAGCATCAACAGAATACTCAGAAGCAAATAAAGAAGTTAAACGTAGTATAAGGACAGATAAAAAGAACTACATAGAAGGATTAGCAAGTGAAGCAGAGGAGGCTGCGTACCATGGAAACACAAGAGAATTATTCAGTACAATCAAAAAGTTATCTGGAAAGTTCAACAATCCAGTGAGACCAGTTAAAACTAAAGATGGGAAATCAATACCTGATGAAGAGGGTCAGAAAAAAAGATGGATAGAACATTTTGAAGAACTCCTCAACCGGCCAGCACCACAACACACACTCAACATAGAGCCAGCGGAAAAAAATCTAGAAATAGAGTGCAGCACACCCACAAAGCAAGAAATATGCAGAGCAATTAAACAACTAAAGAAAGGCAAGGCGGCAGGTCCTGACAGAATACCGACAGAAGCCTTGACAGCAGATATTACGTCTAGCACTGAAATGCTACACACACTATTCAAGAAAATATGGGAGGAGGAACAGATACCGGCTGAATGGAAAGAAGGACACCTCGTTAAGCTCCCGAAGAAAGGAGACCTTAGTTCTTGTTCTAACTATAGGGGAATAACCCTGCTGTCGATCCCAAGCAAAGTATTCAACAGAATGCTGCTAAACAGAATGAGGGAGGCAATAGACATCAATCTTAGGGACCAACAAGCAGGGTTCAGAAAAGACAGATCCTGCATAGACCAGATTGCCACACTGAGAATTATTGTGGAACAATCTCTGGAGTGGAACTCGTCACTATACGTCAACTTCATTGACTATGAGAAGGCTTTTGACAGTGTCGACAGACAGACTCTGTGGAAGCTGCTTAGACACTACGGGGTACCACAAAAATTGACAGACATAATTAAGGCTTCTTACGAAGGACTATCGTGCAGAATTGTCCACGGCCAGCAAACAACGGCGGCTTTTGAGGTACAGACCGGTGTCAGACAGGGGTGTCTGCTCTCGCCTTTCCTATTCCTGCTGACCATTGATTGGATAATGAAAATGTCTACAGAGCAGAAGAGAAATGGTATTCAGTGGACACTATGGAAACAACTTGATGACCTGGATTTTGCGGATGATCTGGCCCTAGTATCACACACACAGCAACAGATGCAAGAGAAAACCAATTATGTAGCACAGTACTCTGCTTGCATCGGCCTGAACATCCACAGAGGAAAAAGCAAAGTCCTTAAAATAAATACATCAAGCAACACACCTATAGCACTGGAAGGAACAAACCTTGAGGAGGTGGATAGCTTTACATACCTCGGCAGCATCATTGACATACAAGGAGGGACAGACGCCGACATAAGAGTGAGAGTTGGTAAGGCAAGAGCGGCATTTAACCAGCTAAAAAAGGTCTGGAGCTGCAGCAATTTGACCCTCCAGACCAAGGTCAAGGTATTCAACACCACAGTGAAACCTGTCTTGCTATATGGGGCAGAAACATGGCGAACAACAGCAGCTGGTTCAAAAAAGCTACAGACCTTTATCAACTCATGTCTCCGAACGATTTTACGAATCCGCTGGCCCACCGTCGTCACCAACGAGGATCTCTGGCGGCGCACACAACAAGAACCAGTGGAAGAGTTAATCTGCCAGCGCAGATGGAGATGGATTGGCCACACCCTCAGAAAGCCCGCATCAAGTATCACGAGACAAGCCCTGACTTGGAACCCCCAGGGTAAGAGAAACAGAGGTCGACCCAAAACAACTTGGAGAAGGGAACTGGAGGCAGACATCAAAAAGAGTGGGCACAACTGGGGACAGTTGGAGAGACTTGCCCAAGACCGGGATGCCTGGAGAGCCTTTGTTTGTGGCCTATGCCCCAGACGGGACGACAGGCGATGATGATGATGATGAAATAAAAATGTAATCCTATTTTAACTAAGTTTACCAAATACAGTAATCGCTCAACACGGCTGTACTGAAACTCCCGCATTTATAACGCGCCCATGATGTTTGTCAAATGCGTTTCATCTCTCCAAACTCCCACGTATTCCTAGCACGGTATTGACAATGAAGATATGTTGGGCATTTAAACTGTAAATTATATTTGGAAACGGGTTTCTTTACGGGAGAATTCCTAGTACGGTATTGAAAAGAAAGATCTTTTGCACATTTGTAGTTGAAAACGGGTGTCCCTCTGAGGTTTGCTGGTTCGTGTGCAAAATCATACAGTTGTGTGCAAAGTTTTACAGCATCAATTTAACTACAGTCAATGGTGCCACAACTTGGATGGTTCATTCAGGAGCAACACATCAAATTTGTTGCAGGAAATCTAATTTATCCAGTTGTCAAACTTGGAAGAGCCTCTAAATATAGGACTTGGTGATGGATTGAATCTGACAGCACATGCCTGTGGTATTGTCAAACTAAAATTGAAGTTCCCTGGTAATAAACACAAAGAATGTACGTTGAATGGTGTGCTTTATGTGCCTGAACTCAAGTATCATTTCTTCAGTGTTGACCATGCAAGTGAGACTGGAAAAACAGTTCAATTCAATAACAAAGGTGAGAAATAAAAGATAACGGTAAACTTATGGCAAAGGGAGTGCGGTCACTTGGTCTGTACCAGTTGTGTCATTATGCAAATGAACATCAATGTAATATAGCAGAAGGAGGTAAAGAAACAAGTGAGGAACTGTGGCAACTGTGCTATGAACACCTAAGTTTTCAAAATCTCAGGAAGTTGGCTGTAGGAGATCTAGTTGACGGACTTAAGTATGATGAGCAGTCAAATAGGAAACAGTGTGAACCACGTGCAAAGGGCAAACATCACAGGACCAAGTTTCCGTCAAGTGGAAAAGTAAGCAGTAGGATACTTGACCTGGTTCACAGTGATGTGTGCTGTAAGGTCAGCACACAATCACTTGGTGGGGCTCAATAGTTCCTTACTTTTATTGACGGTTGCGGTCGATATACTTAGGTTTATATCCTAAAGCACAAGGATGAGGTCTTTAAGTGTTTCCTTGAATTGAAAGTAATGGTTGAGAAGTCAGCTGGAAATAATCTTAAGGCCCTACGCACCAATAACGGAGGAGAGTTAACTTCAAATGAATTTGAATGTTATTTAAAGAAAGAGGGAATCTGTCATGAACTGACTGTTCCAAAATCACCAGAACAGAATGGAGTAGCAGAGAGGAAGAACAGGACTACTGTGGAAGCAGCAGGTTCCATGCTGGCTGAAGCACAGCTACCATGAAAATTCTGGGCAGAAGCAGTGTCAACAGCTTATATCTGCAGAATCGAAGTTCTGTTAAGGTTCTTCAAGGTACTACACCATTTGAGTGTCGATCAACTAAAAGCGTTTGGATGTGTTGCGTATGCAACAATTCCTAAAGATGAAAGACTTAAGTTTTATTCAAAAACACAGAAATGCATTTTTCTGGGGTACGGAATGTTATTACTTACACTGTGGGTAATGTAGCAAAATGTTGTGCTTATCCATCAGAACAACACTGGATGGCGGTAAAACAAATTCTAAGATACCTCAAGGGTATGTCGAATTATGCTATTGTGTTTCAAAACCGTGGATCTACTGACTGTCGGTTATTGTGATGCGGATTGGGCAGGTGACATTGATGATCCAAAGTCTACATCTGGCTATGTGTTCCATATGGGTAGTGGACCAATAAGTTGGAGACATAAGAAAGAATCATGTGTGGCATTGTCCACAGCAGAAGCTGAATATATGGCACTTTCAAATGCAACACTGGAGCCGCTTTGGCTGAGACAACTTACATCTGAAATTGAGGTGTAACCAAAATGTTACCACCGTTATATTTGAGGACAATCAGTCAGCCATCGCTTTGGCTAATAATTTGAAGTTCCCTGGTAGAGCAAAACATTGGGGATGTAAAATACCACTTGATCAAGGAAAAGGTTGAAAACAAGACTGGGACTCTCAAAGATTGTAGAACAGAAGAAATGATACTAAGGGATTGTCTCGGCAGAGATTCATGATACTTAAAGACATGATTGGTGTGAAACCAATGAATTAATTTCATTTAGTGTTTGAAAAGGGGTGTTTGAAAACGACGAAATACTAACTATTAATTATACATTGTTTTGCACACCACGTTATTTATGCTGTCTAGTCGGGCTCCATGTTGATCTCATGAAATAAAACTTTAAACTAACCTTGATGGTTGCCTCTGCTTATTTAATTATCTTCCTTGTGAAGTAACTTAGCAATGTGATAGTTTCAACATTTAAATCCATAAAAAACTAAACGCCTCATCATACTGTCACTGGCAACAACTTAGTCGTTTGCATCCCACCTGACCTCCAACTCTCTGATGACGAAAGGTCGCTACTTTCTAAGGGTCTCAAATTTATTCAACTGAAACCATCTTGTGATTGCTACCAACTACTGTCGGATTCCCACCGCTATTTTTGTTCCTTGAGACTTCAGTTGCACTTTGCTGGGAAAAATACCAACCTCGAGCTATTCCCGTTTCAAAGAGAAAGCAAATCCAAGTGGACACCACCATCTAACCAATTCAAAGCTTTAGACCTGTACATAAGGAGCACGGAACATGACATCAAGAACCTCCCTTTGCCTTCACTCCGGAAATCTAATCTTTCTAAATGTGAATCACAGGCACTCTCTAAGCTACGCAGTCAAAAAGATATCATCATCAAACCAGCTGACAAAGGTGGAGCTGCTGTTGTGTGGGACAAAGATCTCCACATCCAGGAGGCACACAAGCAACTAGAAGAGGCCCACCAAATGCATATGTGAGGCTGTCGAGGTGGACTTTGTGGGACACAAACTATCACTGGGAACACTGGGGCTACAGGAAGACAAAGTTAACAAGATCTGTTCCTTCCTTGGTCTCACTGGGTACTACAGGAACTTCATACCAAACAATGCGACCCTTGCATCCCCATTGATGGCTCTAACTAAAAGGGGTCAACCAGGCAAATTAAAATGGGGAGAGGACCAGGAAAAAGCATATGATGCCCTGAAAGAAGCAATCACCACACGTCCAATCCTACACATCCCCAATATAGATAAATCATTTGTTTTGAGGGCCTATGCATCAAATGTGGGACTTAGAGCTGCCCTGCTTCAAAAAGGTGACGATGGGGTACTTCATCCCATTACTTTTGCTAGCAAGAAGCTATTGGAAAGAGAGACCAGGTATTCTACGATCAAGAAGGAGTGTCTGGCGAAAGTGTGGGCCATAAAGAAATTTGAACTATATCTTTACGGAAAGCAATTCATTCTACAAACTGACCATCAGCCATTTCAGTACATTAGCACGGCCTGATTCGTGAATGCCAGGATCATGAGATGGGCTAATTTTCTACAGAGCTACAGTTTTTGTCTGCACTCCATTGCTAGGGCAAATAATGGAGAGGCAGACTTTCTAAGTAGACTTTGCTGTTAAATTACTGTGTTTTCTGAGATTTATATTATGGCGAGAGTCAACTTTAAACTATATTTTTAATTATTTTTCTATACTTGGTGGATGAAGGAAACAGATTTATTAATCTAAGATGAAGCAGATGTTCACGAATATACTGTAGTCTCAAAGATTGTATTGTGTATGCTATTTTATGGTAACATTATTTTGTTTTATTATTGATTACCATGTCTATAACTGATGATATTTTTGACGAAGTTTAGAGTAGTCGATACGAGACTAGGCGGCGCAGTAGGAAGGGTATTAGTAATGGAGTAGTCATTTGTTTAGGTAAATTTGAAAATTTCTTGATGGCGGACATATGTCACAAATGGACTGAGGTGGGGTTTAACAACGGCGCTCCATTGCCTCTTCAACTTCATGTAATTTATAATGCATTTTGTTTGGAACTTCCCGTTATGAGGCACCACGCTTATTTAATGATAAATGAGCTCGGGTGCGATTTCCGGAGGAAGTGGAGTAATGTTTTGGGGTTTTTAAGCATTGGAGATTAATGGATGTTAACAGTTGGAAAAGAAGCATTACTTGACCATATTAGATCTATCAATACATTTTTTTGTTTATGACTGTTACTGAGGAATTTCTTAGTCATTAATTGAGGTTTGTTTTTTCTGCTTGGTATTCCTCAACGTCTGGATTACTGAACTATCACAGTGAGAAGCAGCCCAGCATTAACCAACACCAATACTACTTGGTAAGCAACGGGCCATACCTTACACCACCATCTCATCTGTGACAAGGGACAAGTGAACATGATTTTATAATTAAGTCCCTGTGAGTGTGAGTGAATATGAGCAAACATAAAACCCTTAGACACGAGCATGAGGGAGTTATGGGCATGGTTATCTACCAATAGAAGTCATTTCACCACATCGACTAAAGTACGTAAGGATATTTGACCAGAACAAAAGAAAATCTGAAAAGTTAGATTGATATTAGAAGATTTGTGCAAAGGATAATGAACATCAGACGTGGTGATGCGCAACATGCAAAGAAAAGCCGATTGGATAAAAGGTAATGAACATCAGAACAGGGGATGGTTGCAAGCATGTAATGACATTTTCCTCAGAGAGAGCAGGTTATATTTCAAGAGGAAAAGGCAAAGACTTTTTAACATTTGAAGTTAAATGAACCTACAGTTGAATGCATATTTAATGATTCTGTGTGTAGTATGTTCATTGTGGTCTTTATTCATTGAATATGTATTTTGAAGCCGGTGTTGAGGTTCAGTTCTACTTGCTTAAAATAGCTCCTCAATTCATTTAATGATTTTGGAGTTCTAACTGCTATTTGTATCAGTTATTAAAACATATGAGGGGTTGAAAATTAAGTTTTAAAAAGCACTCCAGAATGATATTTGTCACCACTGAAGATAATGGGAGGCACTTGGTCCTACCTGCGGTAACAAAATGCTGCCCTTGACAAACTGAGCAATGCCCTGTGGCAGCGCCCCTATTCCTTCAACAATCTCTACACCATTTGCTCTTGTTATTTTCCACACTGGAGCCCCTCCATCCCTGCTTGTAGATTTCAACACCGTAATGGTCGGGTCACTGCTGTAGGTCTTGACAGTTTCTGAAGGGATGGTGCCTGATAGAAAGTGCAGGTGAAGAGGTATTGTATAATGAGGAAATGGGTAGGATGAGTGAGAGGGTGAAGACGTTATATGCTTTTAAAGAAAAAATTGTTAGATCATGTAGTTTTAATTTTGAATTGAACATTTAGTTTTACTTTTAAATTGAACATTTGAGCCCATAAGGTGGGATGAGCTGTCAAAAATGTTAGTTAAATAGTCTACATAGGCATCTGTGATTGTCCAAGACTTAAGTAGTAAGATTAATTATTTCACTCTTTGTATACTTTATTGATAGTGTTTGGTTATTTAGTTCCTAGCAAGAGTCCCAGGAGACTTCCTTCAGTATAATAGCTCAACAAATATAAGGGCTTTGGATATAAGCATGACCCTGCTGAAGTAGAGAAAAGTCTCACAACCCAACTACAGGCCTTAGTTCTTTACCTTTGCCCGTTTCCAAGACTTCCCCATTTTGAGCAATCACTGACCAGGTTGACGTGACCTGGTGAGGTGTCAAGGCAGAGGTCAGCTTTAAGTCATTGATCAGTGTCTTGGGGATTTCCCCAAATCCTTCTTGAAGCTCAGACCCATCTGGCTTAGAGATCTGCCATCTGTGAGGTTAGTTTAAAAGAGATATTTAAAATACTTCAAGCATCTTGTTTAAAAGTGCTGCTCTTTAAATACTTTAATAGAACATGATTCAGAAGGTGGGCGAAACAAAAAATAATTTACATTAATTCTCAACCATCCAAACTATAACTAGAATGAAATGTGTTACTTCTGTGGCCTCTGTCAATTTCTATTTCATTAAATGAAGTAATATTAACTCTTACAGTTGAATCTACTGCAAACGTATGTGTGCTTTCATACCTTTAAGACATCTTTACTGATTACTGACTCACCTTTCTGTTCTGTCACCACGATCAAAAACTTTGACCAAAGTTCCAATGGAGAATCCAGCATATCTATTGAGCACATCAGCTGGTATAGGGCCTTCCCCTTTTTGTAGCACTATTCCACCTGGGGCCATTATAAACCATCTCTCCAGCACTGGAGACCTCAGATCAAAGTTAAATTTTTGCTGCATGGGAATATTATATAGGTAAATTATTATGAATATTAATGTAACGACTTATACTTATATTTGAAATTACAACTGAAATGTGATGCAAAACTTTTGTCGTAAAACCTCCACAAACATATTTGCGCCAATAAAAGAATGCTGGGTCATGCTTAACCTTTATTCAGTAGTTTAAATCAGGTATTGAAACAACTAATTAATAGCCTTGGTGAAACAGATAGATTCATTTCTGTGTATAAAATTTATTTACTCTTTTAGAAACAATTATCTGTATAGCCATTTTTTTGTTTATTGATTGTACCTGAATGTTTTGTGGTACACCTCCTTGACCAGTTTCTTCTAATTTGCCTGTCTTGCCATCTGGATTGACAGAAAGAACACTCCATTTATGTTTGATACTACCTGCAGTCAGTCCATCTGATTCTTGAATCAAAAGCTTTCCTTGTCCATTAGGGATATATACGATTCCATTCTTGATGGTTGGGGTAGTAATATTTCCTAATTTTCCCAACTGAACTACATGGACAACAGATGGACCAGTGTTTCCCCAAGTCTCATTTTTTGTAAAGTCGTAGCGCGGATCACGCAGGACAGTTCCATTTTTGGTAATTGTTATGACTTCAAGAGGTTTGCTCTCAGCTCCTGATAGTTAATAAAAATTTAATAACTAATAAGCTCATGGATCACATTAGTTTATTGGATAAGGGACCATCCATAAATGACTTCACTCTATTTTGATTGATTTTATGCCACCAGCACCATGTCACAAATGTTGTAAAATAAATTAAAACACTTTTATCACACATCATGAATTTGTGGCAATCCCACCCCCTAGACAAAGCAATGTGTTACATTTATGGATGGCCCCTAATGTTATGATTAAAAGCTTAATTCATGGCTAATGTTTTTAAAGTGTGGCCAATACGATATCCAATACACTTAGGCAGGGAGAAAAGAGATTAACAATTTTTATAATATAGAAAGTTAATTTTAAATTGCACTTCTGTTTTTCAGAAACATTTAAATTTAGAAGAAGTTTAAAAGTGCTTATAGAGTAAAAGCCAAAATATTTTAATTATTAAACTTGAATTAACATAAAATGACCAATAGTTACAGTGACAAGATAACAAGAATATTCCGTTACTACTTTATACAATGGAATTAATCATCACATTTTAAAAGTATGCACATATTTGGTGAGGCATTATTTACCGTTGCACTTCATATTACAAATAATCTTTTTGGTGTAGTTTTTTTGAAGTGCATGAAAATTATTTACCCCACAAAAACTTTTATTACATTAAATTGACCACTTTTCATTTAAGAATTGTGCAAGGGAAAATATCAATTTATGGCGAGAAAAATGTGGGATAAATATTTTAAGTGCATACATTCAAAAATTTTAATTAGCGTCAAATTATTAGTTCTTTTTTTGGCATTCCCAGAGACTCAAAATGCAAAGAAACCTGAAATATTCCCGGGATCAGAAAGATTGACTTGTTTATTCCCTGTAATGATGTTGATATTGGCCCCTTGGTTGCTAGCATTTTTGAACCAGTTTTGAAATCCCCATTCATTGTTTGTCAAAATCTGGAAAAAAAATGATAGTTAATTTATATTTCAGGCCATATGATTGCCTGGGTCCTTAATGCATCATTTAAAAAATTTAAGAAAAATAAACGATGGGAGTGTATAGAGAATATTTTAAAAATGTATTTATTTTGTTTACCTGCCCTGGATCTGTTTTAGTCTTAAGTCGATATCTCAGCCGGATTGAAAACTTATCACCTAGATCAAGGTTTGCAGTGGTTGGCAGCGTAATATATCCATCACCATCAAAGTAGGCAGTCCCTAAATCTGTGAGTCCCACCTTTTTAACATCAATGTGCAATGCATTGGTAGAACTGTCTTCAAAGCTACCATCAAAGGTGAGATTGACAGCAGGAAGGCATGCTGAATAAATTAAAAATTGAATCATGTTTGATAAGGCAGATGTGTGGGCCAGGCCAAGGGCAACATTAAAAATGATAACCAGCCAAGTGAAATTACCACAGGTTTTGACATATTTCCTGTCTCCAAAAGACATTGATAACCACAACTTACCAACATCGGGAATGACTTTTCCAACATCATAGGTACAAGCACATAGAGCTGGGCTGTACACCTGTCCTGGATCGCAGTTCCTCTTTACGTTGCCTTTACCTGGAATCACCTCGAGGTAACTGTAGTAACTGTCATGATCTGGTCTAAACCGACAGGAACCTGACAAATCAGAAATAACAAATATTCACTAATGTACCAGTCATGGCTATTTGTATTTTATGCTATCATATATGCCAGCCTCCACTTGACGTGTCCGTAATGATGAGTTTATTATTTCAAGTTCGTTCATACCCTGTAATCTGATTAAAACTGAACAAAAGCCCTATTTCAAGACAATTTGAACTTTAATCATCAAACCTTCTCTATCATCTGGTTGTAGAATAATTCAAACACATAGCCCAGCTCCTTACTGAAAGATAATATAACCTTCTCATTCAATGCCCAGACAGCAGCTGCCTAATGAATAGCTGTACTCAGAGATGGTCTATAGACAATACATCTGTCTCAGATACATAAAAAATATTTATTAACCAAGCTAACAATACACACCCCGCACAACAAAACACAACATTCTGTACGCAACAATGTGACTATTTGTACTCAACCTCACTTTAGAAGCAAACATACCACAAAACTCACTTCAAGCATTTTGCACAGAAAATAGCTGCAATGTTGCGTGTTCAAAGATCAAAGACACAATTGAAAAAAAAAAGTTTATCAGGGAGAACCATGTTCAAAACTGTGTAAAAGATATAATATAACCATAGAAAATTGATAAAACCAAGTAGTAAATAATAAAATTGTGTCTCTTGTGTATCGGCATCCTTCCGTCTCGTGAGACGATGGTGCATCACCGTTGGGTTGGGTTGCATTTTCTCGAGTGGCTGTGCAGTCCTATCCTTGAGTGACAGTCTTTACCACAGTTTTTACACACGAGTTCCGTGCTTCTAAATGTTTTGGCCTTTCTCATAGCTCTTCTGTCTGCAGCCTCTTCCATTCTTCGCTCCTCGGCTACCATGACGCCCTCTTTGACAACTGTGCGCCACGTAGATCGGTCTTTTGCCTTACACTCCCAGTCACTTGTATGTATTTTGGCTGCTTTCATGTCCCTTTGACAGACATCTTTAAATCGCAGACGTGGGCGACCTGTTTTCCTCTTTCCAGAAGCAAGTTCACCATATAGGAGGTCTTTCGGAATGCGGCCGGGACTCATTCTTTTAACATGACCTAGCCATCTCAGGCGTCTTTCACTAAGGATTGTGAACATGCTTTGGGTATTCACACGCATTAGGACCTCACTATTAGTCACTTTTTCTTGCCATTTAATACCAAGGATGCGACGCAGGCATCTCACATGGAAGCTATTAAGCTTGCGCTCTTGGGATGTATAGGTGGTCCATGTCACGCTCCCGTGTAGTAGTGTACTGATGACACAAGCTCGATAGACGCACAGTTTGTCTCTTGTGTATGTGCTGAAAATTGTGTCACTTGTGTATGTGCTAATTATGTTACCTCAATTTACTGATTTTCACTATCCTTACATACTAATTCAAGACTAGTTTAAGACACGGTTATAAGGACACATTTATTTTACCCTGATTAAAAATGGTAACATCCAATGGGCACACATCCTGGCACTGAGTGTCTGCCACACATCCGGCCCCATCTTTGTATCTGTAGCCTGTTTCACAGCAAGTGGGAGTTGAACGTCCATTAACGCAGCGCATGTAACTTCTACAATTTGCAGTGTCCGTAGTAGAGGAATAAGTTTCAAATTTCTGCGGGCCAGCACATTTGTCTAAAAAAATTTAATTTCATTTTTTTAAAATATGTTTGTTGAATCAAACATTCTTCTTCTTATGAAACAGCAGGCAGATCAATACCTGACTAGTAATTGTAATTAATTTTCACATGGATCATTCACAAAGATTTATTCCATCATTCCACTATCATGAATTCCCAAAACAGTTTTAAGACTAGGAATATTAATATCAGTTGTTTTTGGTGGGATTTTTAATGGGGGATGGGGGTAGGTGTTGAAAGTGGGAGTAAAGAAGAGGGGGCAGAAACCATTGATCAGAAATGGGCATCAAAGACCGAGAATTAAATTTAAAAACAAATTTTTGAAATAATGGTTTTGTAAATAACTGCTTGCCGTTAGAAAGTTTAGCGACCTATCAATCCATGTTGATTTTGCTTTGCACTATTGCACACAGTTCTAAGATTTCAAAATGTGCATTGAACTGTACAAACTAATATCATTGAGAGCCTAATTTTGGTGTCCAACAATTGTACCACTAATGGTAATATAGTTTTCTTTAATAAATGACCAAATCGATGTGAATACAACATATCAAATGCTGCTGCATTGGGTTTAAAAACAAAAAAAAAAAGAATTACAATGAATCATCAAATGCTTTACATTCCTATTTTATGGACTGGGAATTTTGCAGGTATTTTCACAATAGCTCAATTTCAGAGCCAGGTATTAACTAGGGCATCAAGACACAACCACTGTATCAATAATTTTAAAACTAAATTTAGCAAATTTATTGAATTACTTTAACATTAGAACTTAAAAAAAGCAAATAAAATAATTAAGACCTTTATGAGACAGACATGATTTTACTATTCTTGACTCCAGCACATGAAATCATTTAAGGATAAAAGGATAATTTAACAATAAAAATTTAAAAAAACAAATTCTCTTCCAAAAGTTGTATTAATAAGAATGGGTTAAATGAATATTATAATTATGTCAAACTTGGCTTGATGAATTTTTACAACTTCAATTAGAAATGCCTGACTTTAAAAACCTGATGGGGATAACAACAAAAATAAGAGGATGTGTCCAGTAAGTAAACTGCTTACCCCAAGGACAGTCCACATATCTGGCATCAAGACATGACACAGATTCATTGCTCCAGAACATCCCAAACGGGCAGGACTTTATGTGTGGTTCATAGGTCGGGCCAACTGGAAAGCAGAGCACATACTTCTCACAATCCTCTGGTAGAGGATTGAATCCGACTCCGCCTTCTACCAAACACTGAAGGCAAAGTTCTGTTAGTGGAGATGACATGATTAGAATATTCTTTGGTTCCCACTTCTTGTTCATTAATGAGTCTTATAAAATCAGCTCAGTCTATCTTAGTTGAACTGTTTTGGCTCACTATTTATTAAATGTTGATCTAATAACTCATTTAGTAGTGACCTTTATCCTGTCAAATTTTATTTTTCAGTTATTTTCATTGCATGAGAAGTGTTAAATATCAAAACTAGAAAAATTAACAGGAAAATTGCTAATTTACATACATTATTCTTTCTCTTTAGGAAGACATACATTATGAGATCACTGGAAACTAAAAGTATGTCAGTTACTTTATATACAGCAAGAATGGAATATACAACCATGCGTAACATTTTTTCCCCCCAAGATTATTTGAATTTAATCATAAAATTGTGGGTTTTAAATAATTTATAACTGATCCATGGTGTTACTTTCTTGAAGAGTAAATGAGACTGGAATGAAATTTTTTCTTCAATGCCAAGTGAAGGCGCTTTTGCTTTCCTGTTTTTAAACTCATTTAGTGCACACCTGGAACTGGAGGTCTTGTAGTCATCCTTGCTGTTGTTGTTGTTGTGCTTGATGAAGATGTGGTGGTGGTTTCCTGAATGGCTGCAAAATAAATTTCTAATAAAATTTTAAAATTGCAAAACAAAATTAATTATTAAAATAAAACTTGCAGTTATATAATTATTTTTTAAAAATTGTTATCACATTGTGTGGATATATTTTTAACAGTTATATTGCTTCCAAATATTCTTCAGAAGTTTCAATGGCGTGGGGCTTAAAACTAGTGCAGACTTCAATTTTTTAAATATTTATTTATTTATTTAGGCATTTTTATATAGCGCTTATCATAAAGCTCTAAGCGCTTTACAATTATTAAAACATGTGAACTAAGTAAAATAAAAATGAGACACTAGGATAGTAACTACTATTCTATAGAAACAATGAAAATGGCTATAAAACGAGGACACTTTGACACTTCAGGATCAACCCGAAACAGAAAATGAGGTAGGGCAAGGAGGGTGCATCACAGGTCATAGGCGGACCTAAACAGATGAGTTTTAAGGGACTTTTTGAAAATGGACGAGGTTTCACTATGACGTATATGGAAGGGGAGCTGGTTCCAGAACGTGGGCCCATGGAAGCAGAAGGAGCGTTCACCGATGGTCTTAGTTTTAGTTCTTGGGATTGAGAGGGTTCTACTGTCAATGGAAATATAAAAAGAAAAGTTCCTACCTGAACAGATATTGTCTCGCAGTAGTTCCACCATACCAACCAAATATTTGAAATCTGGAGCATCAAACAAAGTCTGCAGAGAGCTGGCCATATCTTCCACTTCCTGTCTAAGCACCCTGTTTCCAACACCAACCACAAACAAAGTAACACCCTAAAATAAAGAACAGATTATTTGATTTATAATAATAAAATTACATGCAACCCTTAAAGTTGTTTCTTATAATACTAACTTGAAATGCCAATCTCTGAATGAAATCTGTTAAGATGTCTTAATTTTAAATTTTAAGCAATCTTTCAACAAAAAGTTGTTTTTTTTATGATTCTATTGGTTTTTTATTTGATGTGTTATTTAAACCAGTGATCTCCAAATCTTGGCAAACAATATCTGTACTTTGAAAATGTTAAATGTAGATCTATAAATTCATTCAATACCCCTCCATTAAAAATATTTAAAAATCAATATTTCCTAAATGATTCTATTTAAAAATGTTGCTCTTTCAGCCATTATATAAATCTTCAGAGCTAATTATTTAGGAATGAATCTCTAGGCTCTGTTGTATTGGGGATGATCTCATGGATCTGATGAATGGGGATGATCTCTAGGCTCTGTTGTATTGGGGATGATCTTTAGGCTCTGTTGTATTGGGGATGATCTCTAGGCTTTGTTGTATTGGGGATGATCTCTAGGCTCTGTTGTATTGGGGATGATCTCATGGATCTGATGAATGGGGATGATCTCTAGGCTCTGTTGTATTGGGGATGATCTCTAGGCTCTGTTGTATGGGGGATGATTTCATTGATCTGATGAATGGGGATGATCTCTGGGCTCTGCTGTATTGGGGATGATATCTGGGCTCTGTTGTATTGGGTATGATCTCTAGGCTCTGTTGTAATGGGGATGATCTCATGGATCTGACGAATGGGGATGATCTCTACCTATGCTCTGTTGTAATGGGGTTGATCTCTAGGCTCTGTTGTATTGGGTATGATCTCTAGGCTCTGTTGTATTGGGTATGATCTCTAGGCTCTGTTGTATTGGGGATGATCTCATGGTTCTGATGAATGGGGATGATCTCTAGGATCTGTTGTATTGGGGATAATCTGTAGGGTTTGCTCACTTGGAAAATATGAGGGTAAAAATGTGATTCTTACCCCAAGTTTGGCCCTGCTGGCCTGGTCTCTTGTCTCTGAAGGATTTGAACTCATCCCATCAGTGATCACAATAGCTATGTGAGGGACTCCAATACGAGCCTGTGTGTCAAACATATCTCGCACTGTCTGTAGTCCTAAGGCAGTATTTGTCCTTCCCACTGGGGGCTGGATCAAATCTGAGGCAGCTTGCTTCAGCTGAGCTTTAGCTAAAAAAATAAAATATACATACTTCATTTGAAACAATCTAAAGTCATTCATTTGTTTTAAAAACATTTTCTGTGATGTGTCAGACAGTTTCTTCCTGATTTTTAAAATTTAAGAAATATTAAAATTAGGCCTTTTAAAAAAAATTTGTATGAGAATGAAAGCTAATGACTCATTTAGGTACAGTCATTTAACCCAATCAATCTTTTGACTGGTAGAGCACAGGGTTACAAAACATGACAGGATAACAGAGACATACACATTGTGCAAATTTTCTTTATTGTAAAAAAATAAAAATAAAAATCTTTGCAAAAAAAAAAGGCTCAGATAATCCATGACTACTGGTACTGCATGAAAAAGTGAAATTTAAAAAAATCACAAATACAGTAATGGAATACACATGTGTAAGGTTTTATAAAAATGTATTGAACTTTCCTTTTAATAAGTTTTCAACAATTTCATTGTTAATATTTATGGGCTTTATTAAAAAAATAAAAGAGATCGTAATAAGCCTAGATTAATCCCACAGAATCCCAAAACAAAGAAGCCAAAATCTGGCAGAATGCATCTGTAAACAACAGGAAGCCACTTGAATTGCAGCAAAATTCAATAGTCAAACAGAGTTAAAAGATTGACACCAATCTTAGGCGTTGATTGTCCATTTTTATGAAATTGAAGAATTACCTTTTTCAAAATAAAAGCCCAAAGCAATCTAAATTACCCAGTAAGTTAAGTGTAAATCAAATGAAAAAATCTTACATCTGAATGGAGTCAGCGATACAACATCACCAATTGATGACCCGTACACAATGATGCCCACATGAATTGAATCAATGCCGATGTCGATACTATTGATTAGGTACGAGACAAATTGTTTCCCTTTAATCCAGTCAGCTGCTGTGATACTGTAAGATCCATCAATTAAAAACACAACATCGGCAGGTCTGGAACAAGGAAATGCTGAAATTCAAAGACAGGAAATTTAAAGCATGTCAGAAAAATTTATTTTAAAATTATAAATACACTGTGTAGGTTATTAAATAATGTTATTTGTTGGAGCAAAGTTCACCTATTCAATATTATACAATAATTGATTTTTTAATGTGGTGTATGATGTTAGTATATGGGAATTTCTTAATTAAAACTTAATACCAAGGATTAGAAAATTATTTTAATTTCATGTTTTGATAGATAGTTAATTTGTGAGCCAAAACAACTTTGAACTTAATGTACTTTCGCATTGACCAATTTAATGAAATTATTTTGTTTGTAATACCCTTAAGGTGCACAAATAAGTTCTGGTGTCAGCTAATTTCCAGGGTGGTATAACTAGCATGATTAAATTACTTACGTGGAATGAATGGGCTGGTTGTTGGCTCCGCTGTTGTGGTGGTGATGGGACTGGTGGCTATTGTAGTTGTGGAAGTCGGTACAACTAACACAAAATAAGAAATAGTTTTAAGTATTTTTACCAGTTGTCTTCAAATTACAAAATGGGTGAGATTTTTTGTATTGCATCCCTCACCTTGTTTAACTTCTTTTTGCCTATCCACAAATTTTATAACATTCTGAATGAAAAGCTTTTTATCTTATTTAGTATTTATAAATCCTTCCATGCATCCTATACAACTTTGAATTTTTGTATCCATTTTACAAATACATGGTGCTCCGGCAATAAATAACCCCTTTTTCATGCCAACACAAGAAACTTTTCAAACATCCCTTGCTGACTCACACAACTCAAACATTATCTCTTATATTATTACTTTCACAAATAATGTCCTCCAGCTGTTTGATAACATAGTGCAGCTGTGCAAAGTTCTGGACCTGGAAAAGCCTATTGTTTTTCTCAACCCCGGCAATGGCCTCCAGCTCCTCTGCAAATGTTTCATTGCCCACTCCCAGGGCTATCATGTCAATTTTGTACTGGCTTCTAGCTCTTCTTGCTTCCTAAATATTTATAATAAATTAGAAGTGTTTTGAATGGAGGTTAGAAATTTCATACTTGTATTGAAAAAACAAAAATTTTTAAGATGAAGAAAAGGTTTTTATGGATCTTCTAACAGTACTCAAGCATAACCATAGTCATTGCTCTGGCACATGAAATGACCCACAATTTAATGATGCTACACTACGTAAGAATCACACAGCACATTTACTAATAAATCAGTTTAACGTTTTGTTCTGATCACACAAACATAAATCTATTTTTTCTAATGATTTCATCTGATTTATTTTAATATGTATTTAAATTTTAGGTGGTTGAAAAATTACCATACTAAAGGGATCCAATTAACATTGTCTTATGATCCCCAATTATTTGCTGTTATGATACAAATCTCAAGTTGATGGTCTGGAGTTCAATCCCCACCAAAGCCCAGTCAAGCAAAAACATCACCAGCACCCCGGGTTGATGGGACTCGTTAACCTTGGATGGCAACTCATCTCAGAAGGAAACTCTGACTTCAAACCCAGAGATGGAGTCCTGTAGGCGGATTACATTGGTACAATGAAACATTCCAACAACAACTGCGATGCCACTGGTGCCAAGGTGTATCATCCACATGTTACCTTGGGTTAGCCAACGGCGCGGAGAAATGCGATTTGCTGTTGGGAATCAGCTTATATTCCTAGAAGAATAATCCCAGGCATTGTGGATTTCGTCCTCACCATCGTCGCATAGTGACAGATGAATGCCAGCAACAAAAACAAAAAAAATATGAATCCACTTCAGGCAAGTAAGTCAGCAACTAGCAAGCATACACTGATGGTTGTCTCCAACAACTAATATACTCATAGTAGTTACTACCTGGATCCATTAATGCCAAACAAGAAAATATCCAACTTACCCGGATGGTTGCCGAGACATCGGTGGATCTACCGTCTGTAATGATGACAGCTATCTGTTTAGCATCTCCTTCTATACGCCCCTGACTGTCAGACATTTCGATAAGCTTGGATATCGCTTTGGCCGTGTCAGTTCCTGTAAAAGAAGAAATCAGTACATATCCTTGCCTTTCCCAATCTTGCCATTTTTAAATAATATATATCAAATTACAAACAAGGATGTGAGCATTTGAGCGTGTGAAATCTTTTTATTATTTAATATAAGACTGAAATAAGGATAATGCTCCTACAAGCAAACCTCTAGTATTGAATTTCTTGGATTAGTTATGTTAAGATTTTTAAATAAAAAACGACCATCTAGACTTTAAATACCATTTTATTATAGGTTTTAAGGCCATTATTTGAAATAAATATATATGTAAGGAAGTTTTTTCTATTGTATTATGAGACATTTAATTATTACAATAAGGCACCCTTGCTACCTTTAGGAGACAATGTTAAATTTTTAGAATTCCCAACTAACTAAAAAATAATTTGTGGCGCAATATATCAAATCCAATTCATAAAAAAAAATGTATGGCTTATGCATGCCATTTATCATTGACTAAGCATCTTGGCATTAGTCAAGACTTTCATACAACTGCCACCTAATGCTAAAATAAAAGATGGTTTGAAGGTTCAAAGCCATGGTTAAATCCTTTAATAAAAAATGACATACCCTGGTTGATCTGAACAGCTTGCTGAAGTAGTGACTTGAGTTGTGCTTTTGTTTTGAAAGGTTGCAAGTCAATCACCTGAAAATTAAAATAGTTTTATTTTTAAGCCCATTGTGAAAAGTCTTTTGAGATTTAATATTTAGCATCTTTCTTTTTAAAATTAAATAAAACAAATTTTGAGTGGAACTATCCAATAGTATGCGTAAGAATACATTAACTCCTCATTTGAACATTTCAAATCACATTACCCGGTACTTTTAACATTTGGGGAGTACAGACAAAAATTATACTGTTTTGTATTAACAAATGAATGTTGATTTTATATCAGTGAAGCAGGTGTAAAATTGTAAGGCTTTAAAAATATCAAGTCTCATAAATTTAAATTGACAATATCCTGCATTACCATTCCTATATCTGTGCTGTAGACAATAACGCCTACATGGATGGCATATCTCTCCACCTCCAAGTTGTCTATCAGCACAGATACAAAGTTCTTCTCCTGTTCCCATTCTGTATCCTTAATGCTGTCCGATGCATCCATAAGAAACACAACATCGGCTGGGACATCACAGCGTCTCTCTAAAGCAGAACATGGTTTTATTTGTATTAAGTTGTAATCACTTATGACTTATTTTTCTGATTATATCCATTAGTTTTGCACATGCATCGTGTTTCTAGCATGAGATATCTTACATCATTCCATAATTTTTACAAATCAGTATGTCAATAAGGCCTACATTATTTATAACTAGTATTTTGACTTTGGTCATATATTAATTTAGATTAAGCGCATACTTTAGTTACTATAGGCCTAAAACTTAAATGAAATATTTACTAACACAGGGAAATTTTGAGTAAATTGGGTTAATTGTAATTAACGCATACAATCATACAGCATAGTCATAGGTATATAGTAATTCAATTTAGAAAAGTTATTTTTATGCCAACACCCCTCCCCCAGTAGATGTCTGATGTCAATTGATGTTCCTTGCCCTAAGTCACTTACTTTTATTGAATATTACTATTAGCCTACGTCTACAATTATAATAGTTATAGTATTTGATTATAGTTATAGTATTTGAAATAGGCCTATACTTAAGAGTTCTATACTGTCAAAGTCAATGTAGGCATGCGTCACTGTTGGCTGTAAACTTAAATATTAAAAGACCTAAATTCACGGTGACTATGATTCAGTATGATTCAATGATACTGATACTGTATCATACTGTATGTGTAACTCAGTTTTGAAATTTTAATCAAAGTGCCTAACTACTGTAACTGTAACATACAATGATGGTGTAAGTAATCTTGTGTAGGCCTCCAAATAGCCATAAAGGAAGCATTTTAGTAATTACCTGTTACCGGCAAGAATTTTCCCTTTTCCAGCACTTACGAAGAATATTTTTTATTAGGCTTAATGAGTTAATGCGGCTTAACCTTGCTACTACTTAGTTACTTAACTTAGTAAGTTAGCTACTAAAATATGTTTAAGCTGCACTAACGTCAAAAAACATAACAGTAAGGGCTAGAGCCATTAGCTATCACTCTGAACTTTCTTGACATTGGCATGCCACATATTTGGAAATAAATTATTCAAAATACCATGACGGGAACATAAAATAAAAAAAATTGCGTCTGAATTGAAATTAATGTGAACTGAATGTCGTCTGATACTTGACTTACCTTGTGTTGAGCTTTGATGGACTATAAGCGACAGCAGTAAAGAAATCAACACACTTGTCTGGTACATTGTGATGTATATAAATAATTTTTAGCAATTTTTTCTGCAATATACGTTTCTTTGCCTAGACATGTACAATCGAATATTAATCTATTCAGTCACGGTGCTCTATGTAACGACTTTAGTTTGTCTTTGCACCAGATGAGTAGCAGTTCAAGACCATGTGAGAGAACTATCCAGTCAATCTAGTTTGATTAAACACTAATTTCGTGCGGAAAGGTGTGGTTAATTTTATTTATATTTTTTTAAATTAAACTTGCTTCACGGGGCAAAGAAAAAAAATCGTGGGAGACGACACAGAAACACTCATCTACTTCAGGAGCAACTAAATACCGGTTAGACGGCATGTTTTCTTGTTGGTGTCCGTCGAGTCTTGGGAATCTGTTATTGGTCCAACTGGGAGAGTAAGAAAAATGTTTGCGGTCCTCTAGTTAATGCAGTCACGAATCTAATGATGCAGGCATTACTTGCATTAAATTAGTTGCTGTCTTCCATTATCCACGTGGTGGTGGTGGTGGTGGTGGTGGGGGGGGGGGCTCTTGCCAGACTGGTATTAGTGTTGCATGTGTGTCGCTCTTCTTGTTAGTTTCATTACGTGTAAGACGTGTCAAATCTTGATCTAAGTCCGAAAAAAATTTGAAATATAGGCCTATATATATATATATTTATATGCCTATTATTAAAAAGACTTTCTCTAATAGACAAGTTTAAACACACTAAAAGTAGATTGTAATGTTGAATGAAATGACGCCCCCTGGTCAGGACCGATGGCTGGTTATTGGAAGCGAAGGGGTGGGGGTTGTTTTGATCCCCTTTTCTCATTTCCCCATGACTCACGACCCCAACCCGCCACAGGTAACCAGAGCTCTCACTTTTGTGTCAACAACTCAGATGCGACCATGGGCGCCCGCAGGGAGGGGGGAGGGGAAGGGGGGCATTCCCCCCCCCC